TATGGTGTTTATATTTTAATATTCTGAAAATAACGTGGAAAATTTCAAGGCACGCCCCTGCCACGGTTAATTGTTACAATAGTTCCGATAATAGAACTTTATTGGCTGATTTTTTTCTTGTAATTCTGTCTCAACAAATATCGTACGGACTGTACAGTGCTTCCCAATATCGCCGTCACTGGTTGACAATTCATTGCGGTGCGTCGATATGGCCACCTACTTAAATTAATAAAAAAAACATATACAGCGTGTCCCACTAGTGCGGGAAAGCCCAATATCTATGTTAAAATGAGGAATATATGAATTTTTCTTTTTACTGTGTTGCCACATTTCTCGGAATGTACAAATTAAAAATATATTCAACTATACAGGGTGTTCCACTTTTCCTGGCCAGACATCAACTTTGGTTTTTTTAAATGGAAACACATTTTTTATATTTTTTTCGGATTCTACATAAAAAATAAAGGGTATTTTATGTAGAATAGTTCTATTCAAATATTCACAGTTTTTGAGATATCTCGCTTGAAAGGTTTTTCTAGTCGACATTGGCTGCTTACATTTTCTGATACTGACAGGTTATACTACTAGCTACTAAGCCCATTTTTTTATCAGATGTTTAGTAAGGATGACTGTTCCGAATCATGCTCCAAAAACTGGCCTGCGTTATACAGGTTGACCAAAATATCATGTCAAAATTGCCAATTGAAAAATCTCGAATTTTTTAAATGCCACACCCTGTATATTTTCATACCATGAGATGCAGAATTAAATTCTCTACAACTTTGCTATACCCGCTCCTATACCAAAATTCATTAGTTTTTCATGAAATCTCATTTCTATGAAAAAATGTGAAGTTTACAAATAGCTTATATGTAAAATAACGTAGTAGGCTCCTGTCAAAGGATAATCTGGAAAATTTTCGATTCACATAAGGTTTTATTGAAAAGCGACAGTAATAATAGTGAAATGAATTACTCTAAAGAAGAATGAGTATAAATAATAGAATAATTAGTAAAACTCATGGTAACTGTTTATTGACAAGTATTTACCATTTTAATAATCCAGATTTACAAAGATATCCTCGTATAAAGTGTTTTGTAAAACTGAAGGAGATGTTTGAAAGAACAACAAATGGAAATTATGAGAAAACAACAAGAACACACGCATGCATTATCCAAAACAGTAAATTAACATCGTGCATTTCTAACAAAAGTAATAAAGACCTAGTTAAATTAGTAATTAACAGGTANTCGAGATCTGCTCAAAGAATCCTTTGGCTTGTTCCAAATGTTGTTCCGCGTGCCAATCGTGCCAATCAGCAATTACGTAGATGTCATTCTGGATAGCTGCCTCGATAACGGTTTCCACCATTTGCATTTGGGTAGTTGGGTCGGTCAAGTAGCCATCATACTCAACGGCCATAGCAGCACGGACGATATTTGAGTGGCAGTAGTTGTGGACCGAGTCGATGGTGGGTTTAGTCCAGTATTTAGGCATCCATACGCTCCAGAATAGGGACATACCTTTCAACTGTAGGGCTTCACCATTTTGGTTGACCAATTGGGTACCCTTTACGGACAGTTTACCGTGCTTGCTTACGGTTTCCTGAGCGGCATCCTTCGATGAGCTCTGGTTGATCAAGGTGCCCAGTACAACTAAACAAAACAGCAGAAGTGACTTCATCTTGAAATGTTTTCAGAATACGTTAGAAAACACTGAATAAATAAGTAGTAAATCGTGGTTTAAATATTAGCCCTCTTATCTCGCTAAGACTTATCTCGAAAAATATAACTACACTTCAGTCTGATAAAGTGAAAATTCCCCAAACATTTTAAGCGCTTATCAGGTACATCAAAAGTTATTTCTAAACTATTTTTGACATAAGAGCGTATTTACCCAATAAACAAACTCCAATTGGGTACGCCTCTTGACATTTTGATTGACGTGTCACGAGCTAACTAAACTCTAGGATTGCGGAATCACGTAAACATTTTTTATTTCTCTGCACTCGGTGAATGCTAGGATACAGATGATTTAGATACATAATGGACTTTATTCACTAGTGTGCTAATTAGTAAATAATGAAGTCATTACACATCATTAGAGAAGTCTTCGATATGTTTTTGCATTTAATACTTTATCTAATCAACATTACATTTCATATTCCTACTAGGGAAAACCAATAAAAGGTTGAGTTGTTAAGATGTCAAAATTATAGTATTAAAGGGACTTATACGATCCGTGATATTAATCTTGCAATAGACTCTTTTGGTGTGACGTCACATATTTAGGCATCCTACAACAAATTGTCATAGTCGAAATTGTATAGACCGAATCTGACCCTTACATAGATAGGTACTACAAAAATGAACAACTTCAAATTAATTTATTTTTACAAGGATTTGGAAGTATTTAAGAACAACCAATACGTGTTTCGTAAAATAGATACACTAATATCCTTAAAACTTACAAAAGCGATATAAAAGAGTACTCCTAAATTTAAATAAAGTAAAAATTTAACATTAGCCATGTTATTCCTACTGCACATGCTCAGAAAGAATAGCCTCATACGCATGTGAGATCTTGTTGATATATCATCGCTGTCACCATTAGTGTATTTCTCTTCTTTTGTTTAACATTGGTATTTTCTAGTTCTACTAAGTATTTTTATTGTTTTTCTTGGTGCTGTACTGTAATGTGTTTAAAACTTACAACAAATGATACAAAATAATATTCCTAAATTTAAATAAAAGTTTAACATTAGCCGTGTTATTCTTAATGCGCATGCTCGGGAAGAATAACCTCATACGCAGGTGGGATCTTGTTGATATGTAATCGCTATTTAATCTTGGCATTTTCTAGTTCTATTAAATATTTTTATTGTTTTTCTTGGTGCTGTGCTGTGTCGAGTGTTCAATTGGTTTATTATAGATGTACTCTTAACTATAATCAAGCTCTTCTTGAATTACATCCTATTGCGAGGCTACTTGGCTCACATGAAATTATTTTTAATGCACATGCTCAGTATCATTTTAATTTATTAATTACTGTAAAAGTCAATATTGTTCTATAAAAAATATATAAATTCTATAATTCTGTTAGTTTATCACTTGAGGTGATAAAGTATCTTCTTAAATATTTCTAATATTGCCAGAATATCGCGATATTTAAGGTCGTGACAAAGACGACATTTTTATGGCATTTTTTGGCGTATGTGACGTCACTACTAAAAAGGTCTTTAACTTTACATAATTACGGCGCCAGTTTGTTTCTAGGCTAAACATCTTTCCTGATATTTGTATATTTGTTATATATTTGTCCACCCTGTAACATGCCAATGAAGCTACTTTGGACTAGGTATGTTTGGCTCAATTAGCATATTTTGGCCTCAAATTGTCTGGTAAAATTTGTGGTGATTCATTTAATCACATCCGATGTAGCAAAGATAATGTTACTGGTTCTACCTTTTGCCAAATTTCCCGAAGAGATTAGCAGGTTTTTCCATATTGCAACAGTAAAACCCCATGTAAAGAAACTTTGCTTCTATCGGCTAATAATAAGGTGTTAGTATGGTATACTATTGATATAATATGGATTTTATGAAATTGATTGTAGATCCTTTAGACCAGGGCGAGTAATCTTATACATATAAAAAATTTGTTGGTGCCAAATTTGGACAGTGATCATTCCATTTTTCTTTTTGTCCTATTCGCCTTTGCCTATTAAAGTAATTTATGGACAATCTTGCTGAAACCGTGGGTAATATGTGGCATTATTTTCAGAAAAACGTCTCCTTTTTTACTACTGACCTATAATTTTATACAAATTGAGTACAAGTTGATTCTACGTTGAAAAATTTTGTCAAACAATTATTCATCTATTCCATGCTTGATGATGTTGTACCTAAGTGGCCATTACTCGCAGTCGTTAAATGGATTGCCCATATATCACGGAAAAAACTATGTACGGACTTAAGTGGAAAAGAAAATTTTGGCCAGCTGTAGACGAAACTGCAGATGGGAAAATAACAAAATTTACCTAGTGCGACTTGATACATTCATACATGTACATACGCCGGAATATTACCCAACTGAATACAAAAACTACATCATATAATAATAATATCTAGTACAGCAGCTGTATGAGTCTAGTTCTCATATGCATTTGACTTTGAACATGTCTTTTACACTGATATGATTTCCTTGCCCCACAAAATCATTTCAGATACACGATATTTTATTAGTTGCAAGACAAACTAAATAAAAAAAACTTTAATAAATATATTAACCCTATATTTACATTTCTTTAGATGTACCGATCCGTTTTAATACGTGATATGAACTGACGATCGAAACAAGTCACATTTTACGATGCGAACTCCGGAACACCCATTACGTCGCCGTTTTACTTACGCACCGAAATGTCAAACTGAAATACAAGATAAATCCGTACTGATTAAATTCGTCTGATTTGTCCGACGGTGTATATTTAGAGCGATTTTGAAAAATATATTTGATATTTATATCGTGTATTTTAAAATACAGGATTTGTGTCTAAAAATACTATTTTTTCACTTGACTTCAATTGTCAATTTTTCCTAATCCAACAATATCCAACCAACTTGACTTTGCTCGAGTTTTGCAAAAAATATACCGAAAAATACGGAAAACACAGTAATTTAAGATAGAAGGATATTATTATCATGTTCAAACTAAATAAATATGAAGTTATATTACTGTTTAAATTTCTTATTACTCACAATTCTTTACCAACTATTTGTTAAACGTTTACTATTTTCGAGTCTGGAATTATATGCCTAAACTTCAGGTCAATATTTTAAACATTCAGTTAAAAAAAATATGTTCGGAATTTCAATTTTTATTTGATAGTTGAATATCTAAACATGATTCATATCTTCAAATCCGGTTCGAAGGACCAACAAATATGTTGATCAAATGGAAAGCGTATAAATATAGAAGTTGAAAATACACTTACCAGATGTTCGTGTGCAGAGGGTGAAGCGGATGCGAATCTTCGTGTTTCGGGATTGGATTAGATTTTAAACCATTCTTTTATGAGAGTCTGCAGGATTGAAGATAAAACATTGCAAGGCACATAATATGTCTATTGCACTCTAGTGGCTCTTCCAACAAAGCCACCTGTACAATAAAGAATGACTTNGAAAATCAAAGAGTTAATTGAAATAATCCTAAAACTTTCCCTAAAGATTTGTTAGTAATATTCTGGTCAAAAATTAAGTTCTATTAATGAGGATATATCCATTGAACTATTAAGAAAAATGATCGAGAAGATAATAACCAGTGTTGCTTTAGTTTTGCTTTAAAATAAAAGAGAGATATATTAAAAGTGTATTCCTTTTTCAACTTATGACAGTGTAATAATATATTCGTAATAAGAGAGTCTGTGTTTATATTCACTTCTACTCATAATCTAATCCTAATACCTGACAAGTTATACAAATATTTATTAATGTCACTGAAAGTCTATTATTTTTACTATGCATTTAATAGTTTATTACTTACAATATCAGTTTTAAGTTTAACATTTGAATTATATACTGGACTGAGGCGTCTGTTATAATAAAAATCTACTCTGGAGCAAAGGAAGTTTTGAATTTGTAAATATATTGGAAATATGGTACCTATCCCTGGTTAATGAATTGTAAGGTATCAGGGTTGACGATCAAACACCTAACATGAATCCAGTTGTTCGTCTGTCCCAACTTTGACCATCTTTAGAGTATATGTTCGACTGGGACAGGTTGTTGACCTGAGGTGACTTGTTGGCAAAACCAAATTCGAAAGTGAAGTGAATTTTTGAAATCTGCCCAGGACTTGGAATGTGACAGTGTATTAA